CGAATCTTGTTCCACACACCCACAACCCTTTGTGTACAGATGTTTGTCCTCAGTTTAAAATACACTTCCACACAGTTTGATATCTAAACAGGTCTCCATTCCAAGAGGAAGTCTGGGCAAAGTCCGACAGTGATTTTAGATTTTAAAGCATTTTTACTACGAGGGAAGAGAATGCAATGGCTGCTCTCCGACATGCACACATTTCTCATAAATTTACAGCTCCTCCACCACTGACATGCAGCCCTGCATCTCTGCACATAGGGGTGCAGAGCTGAGATAACATTCCTTCAGCAGCCCTGGAACAGAAACGCAGGCTATCTGATCAAGGCGTACAGACTGCCAGCTGTCTGGCAGAGAGGCACACTGCCCCAGCTCTTGCTGCAATCCTCCCAGCTATGGCTCCCCTGCACAGCTCACCTGGCGCAGCCTAGGGCTTCCTAATGGGAAGCACATGGAAGCAAGCTGGGGTACTGGAATCACCGCGAACAGAAAAGAAAAAAAAAAGCTTGAGAATATATTTGTATAAGACAGGCCTGCGTATCTGTGTTTTATCTAGATTTATTTGTCCAGGAACAGTATGTATAAATTTTGCCAGGGATGTGGTGTGTTATATGCATGTCTGTTTACCCAGGGAGATAGGGGGTGGGGTGGGGGGGAGTGTTTTTTCTTGGAATGCTAATGTTAGTTCTTTGAAAATAATTCTTTTCAGCCTCTCTCTCCCTCGCTCACTCTCCCTCTCTACAAACTCTCGCTATTTTGTGTGAAAAATTGTTTACCTGTGAAGATTTGGCAAGCTTCTGGCTGTATTCCTTCTCAATCTGCTTCAACCTGCTGTTGGTCTGGGAGGAACAAAACAAAGGCGAGAGAGAGAGAAGAGAGAAACATGAAACCCGATCGGCTCAGAGGAAGCACACGCACAGACACTTAGCTGTTGACCCCTGTGCTTGGCACCTCATCTGCATGCCTGTCGCTGAGTCTCTGGGCTCCGTGCCAGGTCCGACGCCCCTTTGTGGCAGCCAGAACAGCACAGGGGTCTGCCTTTGATCTGCAGCCAACGATTCATCACTTAAAAGGAAGAAAAATTCAACCTCTGCTGCCAATTATTAGAAAAACATAAAGGCCTCTGTGAAAAGAGAGAGAAAGAGGAAAAAAACGAGGCACAAGTTCATCAGGATGACCTCACCTCAGTCAGAACAGGAGCCCTGCTGCTTGTTAAAGACTGCAAGGACACTACCTGGTAATTATTTATGAGTAGGTATATGTACATAATGTCTAAATACACAAGCTTGTTTTTATACATGGTTTGTATGTGCATTATAATAATGTAATAATGTACCCAATGCACTACCAAAATATTAGAGAGTACTAATGCTCCACAACAGTGAACCATCCTATCCAAATCAGCAGGTCACCAGGAATGATTTAGCTTGTTAAAGTCCCATGACTGGAAAGGACTGTGAAGCGGACCACAGTGCTGTGCTGCGGGGACGAAGAAATGACTGTACAAGTTGCACCGCTATTGGCGCACATGCTGTGGGAACACTGTTTAAGGCCACATCAGACCCGGCTGTCGTGTCAATTCAGACGGCCTCAAGGTGGTTTTCGGTTGTGTGTGGCAGGTATAGCACCATTAAGAGGAAAGGCAGATTTGAGAGTTAGCACCAAAGGCACAGACCAACATGTCACGTGAGAAAGGCACTGAGAGGTCAAACTCCCGCACGCTCACCTGTAAACACCTGCTGTGGCCTGCAGCAGCTGTACGTCTGTACAACTGGAGGCAGGCAGCCCACTGTTAGGGGGTTCTCTAATATTCTGGTAGTCCAGTGCTATATCTGCATAGACGTGTACATACATGGTTAAAAACAAAGTACGTTATTGGTACAAATTGCCAACACATAATGAGACACACATTTACGACATAACCCTTTATGTATCACTTCCAGCTGCCTGCGAGATATTCTTACAGAATTATGTATGTGACTTGTGCTGCCAAGCATTTTTACATCTTGAATTCCACAAATTCCATCTTTTGCTTCAAATCAGAACACAGATTTCCACAAACTGAAAGCGTTAGATTCCTGTAAAAACGTACTTATTTATTCAGCAATGGGATTTTAGGATGGGAGAGAGGTTTTTGGTTTAAATGGTTGCTTACATAAGGGAACTAACTGATTAAGATTCATAGATGCAGGTCTTAATTTACAGTGTTTTTTTTTTGTTTAAGTTACACCAAAGGAAACGTAAGTGCAAATACCATAAAAAGGATATCTGATTTACGAGATTGGACATTTTCAGCATTTTCAGTAAAAGACCACAGACATACCTCTTAGGCTTTTTACAGTACACTATAAAAAAATAATGGTCTTACTGCCACAGGGGACGTAAATGTGCCAGTATTGTATCACTGATTGAAAATACAATCAAACACTTCTTCCCAATGTATTTTTATTGATAGACCAAAAGCAGAGCCATTCTAAAAAACACCCCCTGTGGGAACCTGGAGAGAAATGGAGCTTGGAGAGGTTGTACGAAGAGCATTGGGGATGTTTTTCTGAGAAATACCCCAAGATTGATACATGACTAATATGCATGTAACAAGCTGTGAAAAAATTGCTTTTCACATCTGATGTTGATTAAAAACAGTTACACTTCGTTTGAACATGGGCTGCAACAATGCAAAATGTCTGAAGTGGTGAAAATGATTGTGCCATGCAGAAACCTAAATAACCCACACTCATAAGAGACTTTGCAGCAATGACTCGCGCACATTAAACTTTCATACAAGGAAAGGTTAATATTCAATGTCTTTTTATTCCAATATTAAGCAAAAACAGCAGTACAACTTTGCCAGGTGGATAAATCATCTTTTAATAAAAATACCTGAATAAGGCCACACTTGCTGTGCTGTTCCTTTTACTGTTTCATAAATGTAGCGAAACCTGGTTTTGTATAGATACCTGTATCTGGCAAGCAAACCTATTCCCTGTCTGGACTGACTCACCAAGGTACTGAAGCTTTCAGGACTCTCTCAAGAGAGGTACATTTCTAAAACAACAACAACAGCAAAAAAAACCCACAAACTACTGGTTCTCCAATTTGAAAAACTGAGTATTCAGCTATAAAGAGGAAAGCTCTCCATAGAGACTCTGACCCTTCTCAGCTGAATATTAAGTAAATATTCTTCCCTGCTCCCTTAAACATCAGTAGACAGAACAGAAAAAATTAACTCCTTCCACCCATCTAAAGGAA